ATATACACGTTTCAGAGCAGTCCTTGTAATTTGTAATATTTGCTTGTGGATTATGTTGAAATGTAGCCTTCTCCACATCTCAGTCAGGTATCTGGAGCGACCTAGGTCCTCAAACACCCAGGGCTGAATACAACGTGCTGTGATGCTAGTAAAACCGGTTCAGATAAATTGGGGTGAGAACGGGTATCACTTCCGCTCCTTTCAAGAGTAAAAAGAATAAATCTGCATAAAATGTGAAAGATGGCTCTGACATACTCCCTTCTTCATAGGCAAATCCGTGACACTGTACACTGGATGTTCAGTGAACCAATGCTTGTTTACTACATTGGTGTGTTTCGAGATGCTTTTTGGCCAAATGGAAAGTTAGCACCACCACCGAGAGCAAAGAGCGACGAACAAAAGCAAGAGACAAAACAGAGAGCACAGCAAAAACTACTTGAAAACATTCCAGGTGAGATTGCTTTCATGCTGCTTAATCACGGATTTAATAACTAGTAAGAAAACAGGTTTATCAAATACTGTTCTGCTGCATTTTATTTTTTCCCCTAAAGTTGTAATTTATGATTATTTACATAAATAAGGATAATTTTGGCCGTATGCTTTGCCTCTCTGTGGATTCAGTTATTAGTGGTGGATGCAAAACCCAGTATCAAGGTACTTCTGTATGTAATATTCATCAAGGAACTTACATTAAGTCAAGATTCTCCCTGGGTCTCTGTGAGCAAATACCACGTGGCTCTGCTACCTGGAACTGCATGACAAAGAAGGAGAGTGGCACCACCCCTCTTAATTTTGCCTCTTACATTTCAGAATTGAAATCTACGCTGTGAATGTTGTGTATTGCTGTGTATTTCTGATAAGAGGTTTCAGGGCACTGAGTGTTAGAGGGACCTGCAGCCTGCACAGAAGAATCCTGGATTGAGTGGGGTTTTCAGGACCTCTTTTTGTCTGCCCTTACGCCCCCAAGCCCACGCAGCTTCCTTTTCAGCACGCATGGCTCTGCGGCTGCGTTCTGAGGTGCTCCATCCAGTCCCATCCACAGGATGGAGAGTCCAGTTACATAATTCTGACCCTTCAGAGATCATGTAAACCCAAAGGCATCTAACTGGGAAGAACTGAAATCATTCCATTTAGCACTTGGAAATGCACTTAAACATAGCTTGAATGCTTTTTATCTCCCCTCCATCTGAATAGAAGGTACTTTAATGGGCTATTTTATGGCTTTACTGAGATATCTTGTATAATTCTTGCATTAGGTAGCTCAATCAACTTCTATGGCAAAAATAGCAATAGGTATGTGTGCAAAGTATTTGTAACTTTACTTTCTGTGTAATATACTCACCTACTTACCTAGAATTGCCTTCCAGGGTTGCTTTTGTTTGTTTATTTCTGAGTTTGGAGAGATATGTCAGGGCATAGCTGAATGCACTTTTAATTAAATCAGTACACACTGGATCACTATTTATTCTCTAATTTAATCCAAAGTGTAAATATTTTACTCAGAATTCTCTTCAGTGCTTATACATGGGAAGTATTTTCTGTGGAGATGGAGAGGCAATTAAAGCGTGAAATATTTTTTCCTGTTGTAGGAATTCTGTCTTTGTGGGTTTAATGATGTTTGAGATTAGACGTGGCTCTGCAAGGTGAACTACCTGAAAGACATGCTGTACTATCATGTTAAAACATGTAAAATGTTATCATTGAGTTGCATGCACTATTGTTTAACTTGGATAACTTGAGAGTAAGAGTATCTTTTCAACTTGTGACTTAAGTTACCTGTGTGTTTTTAAAAGGTTGGTGAATGGGGACTAGGTATCTTGTGACCAAGGGCTATGAAGTGCCCTGGTTTTGTTTCCCCTCCTTTATGGTAGCAGTGTTAGGAGGAGGTTTTGCCTATCACGTATGAAACAGTACAAGCTGAAGTAACGTTTGTTGCAGATACTCTGCAGAGTCTTGTTGGACAACAAAATGCCCGTCATGGTGTAGTGAAAGTGTTCAATGCGTTGCAAGAAAGGAAAGCTAACAAGCATCTACTCTATGTGAGTAACCAGAAAATTAGCCTTTTAACTTTATAGTCCTGTTAATTGCTGAGCTCTGCTCACTAGGTATTAAAGCCTGGGGTCTGTGTTTTTGCAGAGATACATGTTGGACTATTGCTCCACGTGCAGATAACTTTTTTGTTGTTAAGACGGGAAAAATGTACTTGGTTCCATCATTTGACTAATTTTGAATAAGAAAAAAAACTATTCAAAAAGAGTATTGCTTTTGTCTAAAAGTGACCCTCTACCACATCCAGCTTGCCTAATTTCCTCTGAGAAAACAAACACACCTTAGAGAATCCTAGGGAAGGAAAGCTCCAGGAGTGGCTCACAGTTAGGACATGACAGCCCTCCAGAAGACCGGCTCCTCGCCTCTTGGTTGGGACTGGTCGGAGCATGCAGTTGGATCCATCCCAATGCAGCACCTTTGCTCTCCATGAGTCTTTTCTGGCTGGTTTACCTGCAGCAGACCGTCACGTAACGTGGACTGGCCTGCTTGTGTAGCTGCCATGGCTTCAGCAGAACCGCACCGGTTTGTACAGGGCAGGAAATGGGTGTCAGAGAGCAGCTGCCCGTGGCACTTGCCTTCTTTTGGCCTTAAGACATTTCCTATATTACCTGCAAGGCACACGGTAACTTTAGGATGAAAGAAAAGTGGTTGTGTGTGCCATGTGTGGAATGACCTCACATGCTTCTGGTACCTGTGATGCTCTAAATGTGACAGAACAGGAAAAAGAAATTTGTGCTTGGCACCCGTGCTCATCTTAATTCTTTTCTGTTTTTCAGGTTTTGCTGGAACTGCTGCTAACTGAACTGTGTCCTGAGCTAAGAGCTCATTTAGAGCAGCTTAATGCCACTTAGGTTTGAATCTGCACAATTGGACCACTAGAGAAATGTCTATGTCCAATAATAGACATGAAACTTATTTTCCTCTTTTCCATAGAGGGCTGAGGACTATGATTATTTTTAGCATTTTTCTTTCTTCTTGAGTTTTTTTGTGAAGTAAGCGGACTTGAAAAGATCTGATGCTGTAGTAGGGTAGACAAAACAATGCTGTATAGTTGCCAATTTTTATTTAAATTGTTCTATTTGACTACTCTTCTGTTTCAAATATAGATTGAGAAAATAAATGTTCATATAATCTGAAAGAAACCAGAAAATATTTTAAACATTTATGAAAAGAAATTTTGCTTATAGTGGTAAACTAATGAATGTTGTACAGTTCTAATCTCCTCACTGAGGATTTGAGCATTCCTTTTTTCTTGTGTATTGAAAAAGCCTTGTTGTGCAATACTACATGTAAAGCTATTGTGAAAATTTTATCAGTTTTGTTTTTACCAAAGATTTCCCGTGGTTTGAAGCATTTGTAAGCAATAAATAACACAACTGGATTGCGGTACTTGGTAATGAGGCTGTACTGGCAACTAACGAACGAGTTCGACAGCACTAGTTCCATAAGGAATTTTTACGTTACTTTGAAGTCTGTGTCCAAAATATGTATTGTAAACTGGTGTGTCCTAACAGAATGCCTGTGTTAAATGTTAGTTCAGAGATTAGTGCTTATGAATTGCTTCTATGAATGATTAAGTAGACATTTAATTAAACCATTCTAATAACTTCCCTGATATTACTCAGGGCTGTTTTATTCTAATACTTCAATTTCAAACAGCCTTCAAATCTTTCCCTTATTTTATACAAGGAAAGAAAACTATGTCTTCAGTGTTTTGGGGTTTTTTAATTTATGTAAAAATATGTAAATATGATCTTAATGCACATCTAAATAATTAAACATCATCAAAAATCCCTAGATAACAGTCATTACTTTCTTTTAAATTCAGTGCAGTTGTGCTCTTAGAGAAAGTGCCCGCAGTTAAGAGTGGCTATATTGTAAGGTACATAAAATCTGCACACTATATTTAAATCCATGTTTCTATTAACATTTAGCCTTCTGTTCCAACAGTTTTCAAAAAGTTTTCAAGTCATGGCACAGTCCAAAGAAGCAAGCCAAATTCTGCACATACAAAGTTTTTCAAGTAAACAGGTATTTAGAAGTGTGCAAGCTTACCATGGCAATTGGGAAAATTAACTAGTGGTTAATCAAAGCATCTCTTGGTAAAAGATTCAGTGTAACATTGCTCAGGCATACACACTCCTAGCCAAGAGGTCTTCAGCTATTTCTAACACAGAGGTGGTGTAAATGCAATATGACGGATCGAGGAGAACAGACCTTGTACAGAGGACGTGTATATTGAATGCTTCCATGTCTAAATGTGATGTGTCTTTTCCCCCTAGTTCCGTAAGTAGTATTTTCTAGTTTTAAAAGTTGACATGATTTGAACTGTAAAGCTTAGTGCCATACAGGCCAATTTCCAGCTTTAAATCTTTGCAATCTAAGAATAAAATGTGTTAAGGACACATAAGTAGATCCAGATGCCGTATAAGTAGATGCCACATAAGTAGATCCAGAAAAGCATGTGAAAGGAAGTATATGCACCATTAACAAAGGTAAGATTAAAAAATGGTCATGACTTGTTGAGTGGTACCTGAAAACTAGACAAGTTTGAGTGCAAGCTTTTCAGAATATTCGGATTCAGTGTTGAAATACTAGCAATGCAGAAAATGAATCGACCGTTTTTATTTGGTTTGGGTTTGGTCCTATATAGCAGTATGACATGAAGAAAACACAGGACATCTGTTCCAGTAAAATGTCCTTAATAAACCTCAAGTCCTCATTATCATTTTAAAAAGTCTGCCTTTGCCTCATCCCAGTGGAGTGTGAGCTGTTTACTTTCTCTTTTTTTAGATGAAAAAGAGTCAGCAAATTGCTTTAAGTAGTAATTTAAGTAGGAAGTTAATAAGCAAGCAGTAAGTGATGAACAGTCTACAATTGCTGGGGGATAAAGACGGTTTATTGCAGGGTGGTGTATTGTACTTATTATACAGTCACAGTTAAAGGAAACACTAAGTTCTCCCGAGATTAGCTGCCAGTTCAAGGTCAGAAGCAACACCAGAGTCCAGAAGGCATGCCTTTGAAAACAGAGAATAGAGACTTGTAGTTTGTAGCTGAAATAAAATTGTCTCTTGTCAATATAACATTAATAAGATCTTTAAGTTTTCCTGACATTATCTGAGATAATCAACTTGTTAAAATATTAAATAGTTAGTACATTCAGTTTTAAATCCTGTTTCTGATGCCACATAAGAAAAATTCAGTGTTTTAAAATGAGCATACTTGACTGTAGTGTTAGATTTGGGTTTATTTTTTTATTGTGTCTGCTGGTATAGCATGTGCTGACACCACAGTTAGAAACAAAATTCTGCTTACAGGATTGGATCAGTGTCATTCACTTCCATCACCTCTTTCAGTACTCTCTGGGCTGCCCATCTTCTCCTGCACACTTCTTTCAAAACTGACTGGGTCTAGGAATGGTAGGCCAAAACCGTGGCTGAGCAGTTAATTTAAAAAGCATACATGATGTCAGTTTTAAGTGGATATAATTATAGAGTTAAGACCAGAATTATTTTCTGGGTACAAAAGAAACTGAACACACCCGCAACTATTGCCTTTTAACCTGTTCTAAAGTTACTGCTTCAGGAAAGTTCCTGGTTTATTTTCTGTTCCTTCTTTTTTGTTGTTGATGTAAAGATGAATGGCACCAGTCAATAGCAATCATCTCTTTTTATACAAAGAAGCTAATGATGATTAGTCTCAGGTGTACAACTAGTGAATGTTGAGTGAAAATTGTAATTTTCTTTTAGTTGTGGTGGTTACTCTACACCTGATGGAAGACAGTGAAGGGCTATGCTCATGCAAAGCTATGCAGCAGTTGAATTCTGATGAACCACTTCCATGCCTTAAGACTTACCTAGGACTACTAGCTACAGCGTTCCTAACACCCCAGCTTACATTTCTTTCCTGATCTCCTTATCCTATCCTCTATAACACTTTTCACTTCAGAACAGAATGTTTAAAATGTGTGTATTCAAAGGATCACCTGCTCTGCTAGGCCTCTTGAGTCAGTGGCTTCCCTGAATAAGGAGCCACAAAAATTGTAATTTGATAATTTAACATTTACATAACTGCATTTATTTAATTTGGATATCAAAGTATTCTACTTGCAGAAAAAATATTCAGTCTTCCTGTGTTCCCTTCAGCTGGCATAATCATCTTGCCTTGACTGTACCTTTAGGCATCACTGACACTCTTTAGCAGATTCATCTTCTAGAAGCCATTATTGATCTGCTTCCCTAAGCAATAAATCTTATTTCAACTTTAAAACTTCTAAATTATATGACCCCTTTTTCCCTGTGTATCAGTAACAGTAGGATCCTCTGCTATTGCTAAAAGTAAAAACCTGAAGATAACCATGACAACCAGTTACAACTGATGTAAGTATTGTTAATGCAATTTATAATTTTAAGAGAATCATAGAATCATAGAATTGTCAGGGTTGGAAGGGACCTTATTCCCACCCCCCCTGCCATAGGCAGGGACATGTCCCACTAGATCAGGCTGCCCAGAGCCCCATCCAGCCTGGCCTTAAAAACTTCCAGGGATGGGGCTTCCACCACCTCTCTGGGCAACCTGTGCCATTGTCTCACCACCCTCATGGGGAGGAACAACTTCGTAACATCCAACCTGAACCGATCCATCTCTAGCTTCAATCCATTCCCTCTAGTCCCATCACTATCCAACATCCTAAAAAGTCCTTCACCTAGGGTAGAAATTTATCTTGCAAATCACCAAACCCTTTGCTGTGGTAATTATCTCAGATTTTTTTTGTGGTTGCGCAGAGTGTGTTGTTTGCTTAAGTGAGTGGGCACATGGTATCCTTTTGAGACTTATTTTTGGTAGTTTTCAATATACTATCACTTCTCATTTTCCTGCACAGATTTAGTATTTTTTTTGTTTCATTGTCTTGGTTTAGAAGACAGGGGAAAGCTGTGTAAAATGCCCCCCCCCCCGTCCGAATTGTTATACCTTTTAAATTATGGGGCTTTCAGACAAAGATATGGGAATAGGAATACCAGTTTTTTACTAAGAATATTGCAAACTACAAAGGTAATGATACAGAGAAAAGAACAACAAGAAACAAATAATCCCAGAACTCGACAGAGTCAGAATACAACCTGGCTTTGGGAAAAGGAAAAAAAAGTCCAGAATAAGTCCGAATTAAAAGTCCTCCTGGAGTGGCAGATGGGGCTCTGTTTGGGGTGGTCC